GTTGTTTAAGCTTTAGTGTAAATGTGAAATTAGATGTTCTTTTGAGTCTTCAAAACACTTCATAAGACATTTGAAGCATGTGTACTCATAAATGCAATGTAAACTAATCGCTGCTGACATAAATAATGAGACAAGTCTAAAAAATTACATTTTTGTAATTAAAAGGAAAAAAAAATAGAGCAAAATGTCATTTATGTAATCTACAGTACATTGAGCACTATCCCTACCAAAAAATGGGAGACGTTTTTGCAAAATTTTTGTTTTTCTTTTTTAATATTGCACATATTTTACTCAATATTGTGCAAAACATTCTATGAATTAAAAAAAAAAAGAAAAAAATATGTACATACTAATTAAGAAAAAATGAATTTTATTGGAAGGAAAAATATCTGCTTTCAAATTTGTAGTTGTAAGATGATGCTGAGAAAATTACAAGCTAAAGCAATTTTAGAAAATTTAGAGTTGACTGTTGACAATGAACCTATGAGATCTTTGTATGTATATGTTACTTTTTTCTTTCAAAAAATGTAATGAAAAAAATTGGAGCCATTTTGTGTAAAGTACTCCCAAAAATTAATGAACATTTTTCAAAATTGCAGAGTGAGACTAGGTCGACAGGGGTTTATTCAGTTTGGAAAAGATCATATGAATAGTTTAGGTGTTGTTCGCAGTTGAAAGACAGAGGGATGGACGTTTTGAAAAGAAAAAGAAAAAAAAGAAAGAAAAGAAAAAAAAAAGGAACACTTTTTTGGTATCAAGGGACCCCAAAGCGAATATTTATGTTAAAATCTCAAAATCAGTAGTCTGCAGCAATGTATAACTTTCTTTATACTACGTAAGCTTCCGTGGCTCGAATCCATACTTCTTGGCTGTAAGGCCAACGCTTTGCCTGTCACGTCACAGGCTTCCTCAGGGCAGTGATACTGCACCTCTGTATATACGTATATGAGAAAGTAAAAATAAAAAATAACACCAAAGATTTATACTATTTATTTTATATGTAAACAACTTTA